TTTAAATTTTACTTTTTATAAATTTCGTCTTTGAGTGTTCAGATCCATGTACATCACTGCTATTAAGGAGCATTTCCTGTTAAATGCCCATGCCTGCGCGTGCACCTGTTAACCACTTTCCAAGGACCACGCCCATTAACATCAGCCTTGATAACATAATTTCTTAATTTCAGTAATTTAGTTTGTAATTTCCCATCCCACGTTATGTTCCAGGCTTGCGTTTTTAATCTCCATATCCCTTGAAGATTCATAAATTCCTTCCCCCTAAATCTGATTGTTCATTTTAGATCTCTGATGCTTGAATTCTCTGAGAACAAAGGGAACATTCGATGATATGTGAGTTACCCTGAAATCCTTTTCATTAGCTCAATTATTTCTTTACTATTTCTTTTCGACCTTGTCATTTTAATTTCTGGTGTCTATGATTACATTTGCTGTTGTTATTACAAAAATAAAAACAAATGTTATCTGCACCACGTATTCAGCATTTAATCACTAAATGCTACGCCATTTATATACATCATCTCATTTCACCCTATCATCACCCTATGAAACAGGTCTCAAAGCCCAGTTTAATAGATAAAGAAACTGAGAATAAAGGGTTAACCTACCCAAAGTCACCCAGGGGGGAGTTTCTGCAGACTGTACCTCCATCTACTACACTACAGGCACGAACCACTGCCTCGATACTGAGGTCTTCAAGTACTCCTGTTTACAAACAGCAAACTTACAAACACCCGATATGCCGCCACTCCTAACCTGCCCCAGCCTGTCTCCCTCTTCTGGTGTCCCTGTGGCCTATGTCTTGAAAAATCAATTTAAAACACTCAAGACTGGCCCTAAATGTGTATTCTCAGTGTGGAGAAGAGAATGAGCTCTAATAAAGGGAACAGCTTAGTTAACAGAGGCGACCCATCTGTCAAAAATACTTAAACTGTCTGAATTTTTTTTAAAGATTTTATTTTATTTATTTGAGAGAGAGAGAGAGAGCACAAGAGGGGTACGGTCAGAGGGAGAAGCAGACTCTCCGCTGAGCAAGAAGCCCATTGTGATGCAGGGCTCCATCCCAGGACCCTGGAATCATGACCTGAGCCGAAGGCAGTCGCTTAACTGACTGAGCCACCCAGGTGCCCAAACTGTCTGAAATTTTTTACATTGATATTGATGGCAATCGCATCAATGTGAGTTTTGGTTGTATTTATAGGTTTAAAAAACTGAAACTATTTCTGTGTTACGTTATTCATATTATAATGTAAATTACTTTAGTTGGATTGCTTTCCTTTTGATAGGTCTCTTTGAAATGGGTGAATGGGTCCTTAAAGGACAAAAAGCCTGAGACTAATTAGGGTGACAAGAGGTAGGGTTCAGGTGTGTACAATGAATGGAGTAAAACCCTTTTCCTTTCTTTTACTACACCGTCCTCTGCTCCCTGAACACTAAGTCAGTCTATCAGATTAAGGGTTAAATGCATTAATTTAGACTTTTGGTTCACATTTGAAAAGTTCTGGGCACTTATGAGTTTTATTACTTAATTCTAGGGAGATAAATAAGAAAACAAAATTATAATATGATATTTATATATAGCACTTATGCTGTAATAAGAGTAAGATATTTTTGTGGGAACACAAAATCACTTAATTATTTAATTTAAAAAACAGCATTATTTCTACAGAGATAAAAGCTTTGAATTCCAAATAAATACTGTACCAATGAACTGTATAGCATTCTCTATTGAAATGTTAGGGACTACCCTTTTAAAAAAGTATCTTCCTGGATCATTTTAAAATAATAAATATAGCTAATTAAAAAAATAAACATTATATATTTAAATAAACATTATCAAATTCTCCATATTAATTTTCAGGTATAGCTACATATTGTTTGACATTCAATTATTGCCAATTCTGTTAATTAGTAATTATATAACTCACAGAAGCATAGTTGGTCTATGCTGAATTATATTTTGCACTGTTAAACTTAATAGACAAATCACTTTTTTCTGAACCAACGAAGAGCAGAGAATATTGATCTTATAGGGAAAAATCAAAGTTGCTCCTTAAATTTCTGCTGAGAGTGGAATAGATGTCTTAAACTGGGATAAAGAGAGGCAGGGGTGTGCTCTGGCTACACAGTTAAATTCTGTTTTGAGGGAAGACCCCCTGAGAAATTGGAATCATGTCTGCACATGCCTTTTACTGCTCTTATTAAACAAAAATTTTCTGTTTTCAAATCTCTAGTATAGTTAAAATATTCTTAGATAGTAACTTAGTAGTTATTGTTCTACAGATGCTTCTGTAATTTTCTTTTTGATCCATGACAGAGGAAGATCATGTTAGGGATGATGGGGAGATAGATGACCCAGCAAAGATAGTCCATATCAGTAAGTAATTTGTAGGGTAATGAAACAGAGTTGTGTTTTGGACCCTTTAAAGAAGTTATACCTTAATGGCTTAAATACATTTTTAGTTAAGCTGAATGCATAACTTCATAATGATAAGCATTTGATATCCAAATGATAGGATGTTATAAAGTATGAGCACCCTGTAAAGGTGTCAGATCATCTGATCTCAAAGTCTCCATTTTTTAAGGACATCATTCATCATGGCTTCCAGCTAAGACCCTAATAGAGGAAGTCAATTTTATAAGCGGCTCACCTTAGAGCAGTTCTCAAACTTTGGTGTACACCTGGTAGGTTTGTTAAAACACAGGGACCTGACCCCCAGAGTTCTGATTAAGTACTTGGGCCAGAGAATTGCACTTCTAGAAGTCCTCAGGTGATGACGCCACTGGTCTGAGACTACACTTAGAAAACCACTTCCTTACAGAATACCTATGAAATTATATTGCTTAGTATAGTTTGTCCTTTGCCAAGATTTAAATTTTCTCCAGCCCAAAATAATTGGTCTCAAAGTTATAAAACTTTGAAGATTCAAGAATTAATTTATGAATTGGAATGGCATCAAAACTTATTTTTTTGAAAAAAAATCTGGAGCCATGCCTATTGTATTCCATTGGTCCATCCTCCTACAGCAAATTTCTGTCAGGTATCTATAAAAGGAATCATTGAAATTGCAACTAAAGAACTTGTTTTTATTGTATAAACAATGGGAATCATACAACCGACCCAGTTTCCCCTTCTGTCTTTGCTGCTTTTTAGGAAGTTCACAGTCAAAATACATGCTTCACATGCAGCAGGTATATAGGGTCTCACATTATGCATTTTGTTCACAAACTTTACTTCTGCTGTTACTTTGTTTTGCCTTAACTTCATTTTCTCTTGATATTCATCTCTTCATTGACAGTATTATTGAGAGTATTATATGTACTTTAAAAAATCATCTACATTCTTTCCTAAAATACAGTGGGAGATAAAAAAAAATTGATGTTAGTTGAAGACATGTTTCTAGAAGTTTTTAGAACCTATTTTATTAGGACTACATGCCTTGGTCTTTGGATTATATATAGTGAATATATATAGAGTATAAGAGATGCCACAAAAGATCAGGTGTATCTACTTAGCCCTAAGAAGAAATACTGACAAAGTACCTGGGAAGACAGATATCATTTCTGACATTAAGCTCAAAAGATTGGTAGTATCTGAAATACTATATCATTACAAAACTATTTTCTATGAAATTCACTGAGGCTATTTGAAGTTATTCATATTTTTATTTTAGAAAATGAATATAGGGCGCCTGGGTGGCTCAGTTGGTTAAGCGACTGCCTTTGGCTCGGGTCATGGTCCCGGAGTCCTGGGATCGAGTCCCACATCGGGCTCCCGGCTCAGCGGGGAGCCTGCTTCTCCCTCTGACCCTCTCCCCTCTCATGCTGTTTCTCTCTCTCTCTCAAATAAATAAATAAATAAAATCTTTAAAAAAAAAAAAGAAAATGAATATATTTTAGGACCCGCTGAGTAAAGGTAAGACTTTATTTGTCTTGAATTTACCTTTCTCTGGCTTTAGGCCTATGTCATTTCCAGTACATCAGAACTCTGTGATGAACAATTCTACATTCACCATGTCAGTATTTGTGTAATTTTGGGAAGAGATTGGTGATTTGGAAGATGATGCTGATGTAAGAATCTCTGCCTCTGTTAGGTGGTATAGTGGGGAAACTAGAAACGTATATATGCATATCCAATGTAGCCAGTTATGCTTTCCTTAGTAAGTCTTGACTTCACCAAAGAATGCAGTATAATGGAGAGGAACTAAAGGTTAAGTAGGTAAAAATAAAATAGACCTAAGCGTATAAAAATCTAAACTGCTTTTCTCTAATACACAGAAATATATAGACCACAAATATTACACGATTGCAATGATCACATTACTAAGCCACAGAACACATAGTAACTAAATGTTATATGAGTAAATTTGCTATTTTCATTCTCTTATTAAATCTTAAATAGGTACATCAGAGCAAAGTCTTTTCATGACTTTGACCATGAATAATATCACGAACCTAAACATGTTTTGAAAATATAAAAGCAATGAAGGGCAAGAATCTTCCCTGGTTGACCTCATACCTCAACTTATTCCCAAAAAGTAGCTCAAAAGGATGCTCACTTTTGAACTTACAGCATCTCATATGAATATGTATTTTGTTCTAATGACTCATTAATAAACCAGGTTCCATTAAAATGCTATAAAATTTTTAAAAAAATCTATGTATGGGAAAACCACAGCCGTTCTTCCTAAACATTTTTGAGGGTGTTAGAGCCTTGTAAGTTCTATAAAATAAAAAATTCTAAAAGATCTGTTCTTCAGATCATTTATGAGTTTCATTTCTTTAATCTCCTATATTATTATAATGACTTTTTTAATAAGACAATTTCTATGCCTAAAAGTTGGAATATAAGCACATTATAAATTTTAGCATTTGATATCATGGGGCCATTGCATTATATGTTTGTGTCTAACTAATCTGTGTTCAGAAGTTGAAGAGAATCTAACGGTTTCATATGATTGTTTATTTTACAACTTTTAAAAAGAAAAATGTCTTGCCTTTGAATGGTAATCTTGTTCCAGTCTGGGATCTGATCCGGCTACCTGTTTGTATTTGTTAATTTTCATTTGGCGATTTCTCTCCTCTATATCCATAGCACCTATCGAGTAGAAAAAAACCCATAAAATTAATGTTCAGTTCTTATTTCTGAGCCCTACTTTCAGGATGTATAATAGAAGAAATGTTAGGCTGATATATTACTTTCATTCAAGGTAGTACATACAAATTAAAATGTCATATTATTTCTTAGATTTATTTAAAGTATGCAATTTGGTGAATAAAAGCATGATTACTAAATCTGTAAAAAAAATTTAGTCTAAATAAAATGTAAATGAATTTTAACAGAACAACAAATCTTAACTAGATAGAAAACATTTCTGGTACATGTATGCCCAGGAGAATATATTTGACAGCGCATAAACCTGACAATAATAATCCTATAAATAAAAACTGGCTTGTAACTCATCAGGATTTGATTTATTTACTGAAAAATAGCTGTAAGTCTAATTGGTTTCAAATGCAATTTTACAATTGTGTTTAGAAACTACCATAAAATTAGCCCATGTGTTAAAAAGTAGGTTGTCCAAGCTTACATATGGATCTTTTGAACTTGAATTTTCTAGAACTAGCACCAAGAAAGAGGCACTTGGAATAATACTCCTGAGAACAAACCATGCCAATAAAGGCAGAGTATAACTGAAATCATTTCAGAAAAAAAAAATGTAAGGAGGTGAGAAAATGAGATGGTAAGCCTATTACAAAATGAGACTAATACTCTCGATAACAGGTCTACCTCCAAATGCATCAATTATAGATATCAAGAGGGTCTTTAAAAACTTTGGTTAGAATAAGAACTAAATTCAGTTAGCAAATCTTAGCAAACATGAAAAAGTGTTTTTAAGGTATATTTATAACTTTTATTAAAGAGATTTTATATGAAAATTCCATTTCTCATAAATATGCATAATGAGATTATGCTCACAAAATCTCAATTGTATACTACAAATGTACAAACTGGGAAAAATAATCATAGCTTACTGGGCTCAAGTGGGTATCTACAACATGTCATCATGTAAATTCATAACCACTCAGCGTTGGGAGGAATGTAAACATACCACATATATACCCCTTGCTTAACATCATAACCTGAAAACTGCAGTAAAGATCTCTATACAAAAGTGTGCCTATTCAAGAATAAGTATTTTATGAGAGATGATGGACTCTGAAAAACAAACTGAGGGTTCTAGAGGGGAGGGGGGTGGGAGGATGGGTTAGCCTGGTGGTGGGTATTGAGGAGGGCACATTCTGCATGGAGCACTGGGTGTTATGCACAAACAATGAATCATGGAACACTTCATCTAAAACTAATGATGTAATGTATGGGGATTAACATAAGAATTAAAAAAAAAAAAGAAAGAAACTAGGAAGATCCTTCAGAAGCCATGTCTAGAATAGTAAAGGTAAAGTTTTGCTTTGAAGAGCCTCTGTTTTCCAGCACTGTCCATTATAATATTAAAGTACTTGGCCAGAATCCTGATTCTGTGGGTGTATCTGCCTGGAGTGCTGAAATGGTTGAAAAACTTTGATTCAGCAATTTGACTTAGTCATATGACAAACAGTAGTAGCTTGAGAGATGGCGGAGACATTAGGTGTCCTATAGTTCAACCACTTCACCTAAGAGACAAAGACATTGAGCTCCATGTCTTCCATTATCTGGTTGAAGATACATAATAGCAGAGCTAAATGAAGTACCTCTTGGGATTAGAGTTTTTGTTTATGCATGACTTTGTTTTGGATTAAAAACAGTGCTGTACACAACTGGTGAACCATTGAACACTACATCAAAAACTGAGGATGTACTCTATTTTGGCTAATTTAATTTAAATTAAAAAATAAAGCCGTGCCTGTTTGCTAAGTTAAAAAAAATAAGTATTTTAATACTTATTCTGAAAAAAAATCTCATTGTATATCAGAAAATTCTTGTTGGTAACAAATTTTAAGTAAAAACCGATTAATTTAAAATAAAGAGTAAAAAAAGAAAAAATTTCAAAAAAATCCTAAGTAAAAGAATGTATAAAGAGTCTATATTACATGACCTCTAAGTATAACAGCAAATTTAAGTCAACTATTCAATAAAGTGAGGCAATTTGTTCCTTTTAAGAGTCTCTTTTTAATAATGATTTGATTAAGTCTGTGCCAAATTAAAAAATAGGGATATGTGTCATATTGATATAAATTGAATGATACATAAAATCAAGTGAGTGCCTCCATGATATGAATGTGAAATACAGTGAAGTATAAATGTCTACTAGCCTATTAAAATACAATTTTGTAGTTATTTGTACCTTAAGAGATATTCTCAGGTAAATGTGTTTATTTTCTCCAAGGGCAATGGAACAAAAAGCCATCCCTGTATCAAAAAAATTATGTGTACTTAAAGATACTAGCTAAATTGAGTGTTTGGGAAGTTCTTTTAAAAAGTTTCATTTTGATATCATGGTAGCAAGATAGTATATTAATATGAATAGCACCAACAGACAAAAAAGCTTGAACAGATTTTATATATTCATATTTAAATATATATACATACACATAGATATATATACATACATACATATATACGCATTTTCTAATATTTAGACTTTTTTCTGGACATCAGCCTCCTATGAAGCTACATCAAATTCTTTTTAATAACCAGGTAGTAATGTGATATATACTGGCAGGAGTCGACAAACTTGTTCTGTAAACGGCCAATAATAAGTATCTTAGGCTTTGCAGACTGTATATTTTCTACCACAACTCTACCACTATAACATGAAAGCAGGTATAGACAATGCATACATAAATGAGTGTCACTCTTCTATGAAAACCTTATTTACAAAACAGGCAGTGGGCCTGATTTGGTCTGTGGGCCATGGTTTCATGATCCCTGCATTAAAGCATAATTTTTAAAAAAACATATTGATTTAATATTGCTTTGCAAAGGAGCCTTTCTCCTTAGTAAGGGTTTAAAGATTTTGTAGACTCAGATTTATGGGACATCATTTATATTTAACAGATCATTGGGGGGGCCTAAGAAGAATATTAATTTGTATTTGCTATAAGTAAACAAAGATGCAAATAGAGAGAGTGATATAATTACTTAAATATGTTATCAACTAAATTCCAATTTCAAACACATCTCTCATCTCCAGACTCAATTACCATCTATAGACAGACCTTAGATGGAAAGATTCTTTGTTAGCACCTTACCTAATGAAATTTCAAGTGACCACCTTATTTGATATACAGTCAACACACTTCAGTAAATATACTTTTAACTTACAACTTTAAATTCTTCTAGGAGGTAATCCTTAGGACAAACAGTAACCAGACATTCCTCTCTCCAAAACTATTTGGCTCCTATGAAGTCTTCCATTGCTTTTCTACATTTTTATCAACCTATTCTCATAAAGAAAACACTTCACAAACAATGATATCCATAGAGAGAAAAGTATCCTACTGGTAAAGAGATCCATCATAGGAAATATAAAACTGTCTTCTGTTGAGACTCCCCAAACTCTTGATGACAATATGGCCGAAGTGTAGCTTTAATAAATCTAATTGATTTTCATAAAATACACAGAGATACACTAAATGGAATCTGAGCATAAAACAAAATATTATGTGAGACAGTTTTCTGATTAAGATTAAAGAAGTATATTACTTATATGTATGTACCAAATAAAGTGCAATAAAGAAAAAGGTGGAACCAGCGTATGCAATCGCTACTTGCCCACTTTGAGGTGACAGTTACACAGGAGAAAGCATCGTTCCTTCTGTCTATTTTCTAGTTTCAGTAGGATAGACTATAAAAATAACTTATTAATGTCTTTCACTAGTCAGAGGACTGGAATAGAAACTGTTAAAATGACTACATAAGATATAATGAGATAAATAAGAATAAATAAAAATGTATATGAGATAAAAGAAATGTAACATTTTGTTACATTATTATTTTCAAAGGCCAAGCAATTCAAAAAGAAAATATTGTCCTTGACTTTTATTGAATATTTTAACTGTCTTTCAATATCTGTTAACTGTGAAAAAATTTGTTTTTCAGATTGACAGTCATTGACAGCTTTTGACAAAAAGTTGATAGTCATTTATATGAATGTTTTCCAAAGTACCTGATGTACAATGATACAAAGTAAATTGCTTAAAAATACAACATATTTGGTACTGTGTATCAAAAGGCTTTACAATGGTCATATATTTGAATGTGAAATTTTACTTCCCAGGATTGTTCCTAAAGAAATCAATGTGCAAGATGTACATACAAGTGTATTTATTGCTCACTGTTTGAAAATTGTAAAGGCCTAGGAAAAGAAACTCTAAATGTCCAACAATTTACTAACACCAACAATAGCTGTTAGTAAATTGTACTTGTGGTGTATCTACAGAATACTATGATGCATCCATGAAAAAGAATGCATATGATGTGCATGTGCATTCACACATATAAATGTAAAATAAAGACATTGCAATCGGTAATTATAAAACAGATTAAATGGTGATATAGTACTATAGTTTATAAACTATAATTTTAAAAAATGATATATATATTCATAAAGATATATATACACATAACCTATACAAAAGACAAAGAGAGGGAAAAAAATTAAGATTTACATACTAGAATGTTAGCAGTTATTGCTCGTTATTGAAATTAAGTGCTATTGTTTTCTTATTTGGGTTAATATATAGTTTATAAAATGCCCACAAAGGCACTATACAGAAGAAAAATATTACTTTAAAAAACACAAAACATAGTGTTTTTGTAAAAAAGGACAAATTATTCAGTTTGAAAACCTGTATTTTTGTTGTGATTCTATAAAAGTGCTTTGGAAATAAATGTCAAATAATTTTTAAAATGCAAATATACAACCATTCATTGCTTAACTTATCTAAGGGATATATATTTATTTTTTCATTGCTTAATTTATCTTAGAGATATATATTTATTTGTTAAATAAAAGCATTTGGGTGTATTGATTGAAAATGGTATATAATGAGAAATATTTCCAAACATAATAAAGTACAGATCTTTTCAAATTTTAT